GTTGGCCATGCTCCACGTCCTCGATGAACTCCTCTGCCACTTCGTCCAAAGTTTCGACTGAGAGCTTGTCAATGTTAGAAATCTTTTGTACCACGGCTTGGTTTCGAAGAGCCTGTTAAGCACCGAGAGTTTATAGCTAAATCCAGAAGAGACTTACATCCATTCGGCTTGTTGCTGAACTCACATTGATGATGCGAGACCCATGGGGAGATTGTGATCTTAAGAGAGGGAGCAAGCACTCGATCACCATCCTCGTTCCGTAGTAGTTCGTGCTGATAACATCCTTGGAACTCTCCACTGTTGGATTTCCCAAGTGATCATTTCTTGAGATTCCAGCATTGTTAACCTTTATAACATAGATTCATTAATTATTGCCAGAATTCAGGGGAGAACTCAAACATACCAATATGTCAACGCCATTGAACTTAGTTTCGATCCATTTAGCAAAGTTTTGGATGGATGACGGGCTTCTCACGTCCAAGACATGGAAGTGAAGCGTTTCCGGATTGATCTTTTGATCCTTCTTGAGAGAATTTAGAGCCGCCAATCCCCTTTGCTCGTCTCTGGATGTCAGGATTGTAGTCACTCCCTTGAGGGCCAGGCCTTGAGCAATGGCAAATCCGAGCCCCTTGTTGCTCCCAGTCACCACCGCAATTGTATCTTTGGACCACCATCTTGGTTGTCCAGGAAAAGAGCATTGATTTACATGGAAGAGACTTGAGTCAAGCAAATGTAAGAAGTATTTCTCCAGAACACTTACTGCGAGTCCGCCATAGCTCAAGAAGGCAACAGTTGCACGCACGATTGAGATGTGATATTGTGGTGCTGGTCTTGTGCTTTTATTTGCGTGAAAGGACAGTGAGGTTATTGCTGGAAAAGAAAAGTCTTCTCGGGGATTTGTCGATTAGCAACTCAAACAAAGAATAAAGAATAAAGAACCAGACTACAATTTTGTTTAGCACAAAATGGATGTGGCTGCTGGGATTCGAGCCCAGGTCTCCACGGCCACAACGTGGAATTCTCACCACTAAACTACAGCCACATTACTTGTTAAGTGGGTTAAATAGTTCCACTAGATTTATATTTATTTCCTGAGAAAAAAATTGATCTCCTTGCGTGAGAATGGTGGTGGATTGTCGGTGCAATCCCATCTTTTGTGGTCGATTGCACTAGGGATGTTGTCCTACTTTGAGATTGGTCCTATGAAGAACGTCAAGGAGAAATAAGCAAGAACCTTTCAAACGAAACATGACATGAACTTCATGGTCCCATCTTAGAGAACAGTGACATCTTGGACGCTTTGCGGAGCGTCTGCAGCGTCAACTGGGAAAGAAGAGAGGGGTTCAGCATTGAGTACTCCTAGATGTGAATGAAATGAGCCTTGTTATTGGAGGCTCCTCGGCTGTGCCACCGTTACTTCTACGCCGTTTCCATCTGCAAATAAAGATCAACATGAGCCGAGAAAGGCAAAGGATTGATCGAACATACCTCTCTGTACCCGGGGTTTCCTGTTCCGCATCCTGTTTTTTTTTTTTTTTCCTTCTCTCGTTTAGCGCTTCGTCATATGTAGCAAATCTCATTACTATTAGAGCTTCTTTCACGTCCTCCTTCAGCACCTGTAAAAAGAGAGAGATGAAGTTATCATGTCATTCCTGATGAAGAAACACCATATTTGCCTTGAGCTTTCCATGTGCGGTTGAAAGACGTATCATGGTCTCGAGCGTGATTGGCAAAGTGCCTCCTGACTGTGGGAGAAAACATGAGAGAGTGACCCCAGTTATTTACGTACCTCAGAACTACGACTTTCCATAATTGCGTAAGCCTTGATGATTTCGGTTGATGCCTGCAAAGCATGGGAATCAAAGCGCCAACGACACACGAGGGAAAAACTTACCTCTTCATTCACTTACTCTTGGCATGATTTATGAACTTTTTAAAAAACTTATCGTTATTTGTAGACTTTTCGCGCGAAGTTCTTGTTTGCCCCGTGCAAGAAACGATTATACTTCACAAACATCGTAGTTCCTAATTCATGTTCATCGTTCTCGACATTTCCTACAGCGGGCAGACCTGAAAAGCCATTGTCACCATTCAAAAACATACTAGGCTCGCTATTTACTTCCATCTTCGCCGGGTGCTCGAAAACGGTGCATTCCCAGCACATGCTTAGAAATTTTGCGGTCAGTATCTGCATCCAATTGATCAAGAACAATAAACAATAAGTCGAATCGTGACAGAAGGGAGTCCGGAAGCCCTATATCTTTTGTTACAAGTTTTGTAGGAGTAAGTGATCGATCGTACTGGAACAAACATCAGTGATTGATTAGCATTGCGTTCAAGACTTACAGTTCTGTAGATAGGATTCGCTGCAGCCACGACACTGCAACGGGCATACTGTTTGCTGTTCCATAACTTCGTGAATGGCAACGCGATCAATGTCGCTCATTTTGTCAAACTACAGACCACGCACCTGTCCACCAGCACCATTGCTCCTTCTTCAAGACGTCTTTCACCTGAGGATGAAAAGAGTCAAGCCACAAGTGCATTAAAAGGCCTACCAGTCTCTTGAACGGATCTTGCAGCTGAGTCTTGCTCCAGACGATCCTCGGCCAGTAGTAGAAATTGCAAGCTGTGCAACGCTCATAATTCCTGCGGCTTTGCAACGAGTGCAACAAAAGAATGTTGAAGAAACTGCATAGTGCTCCGTACTGGATGCTTTACTAGATTTTTCTCCAATCCACCGATAACGGCTTTCTTGACCAGGGAATGACCATCTCAGCAAGTAAATTAAACGAATCCTCCCTGTTTCCGATGCTCCGAATATTTTTGAGATCTTCATTTGTGAAAATTGGAATGTTATTTGCTATAACGATGGTTCTGCAGTAGGAAACTTCTCACGAGCGGTTTCACGAAAGTTGATATGGGGAGTATGACCCGCCACTCTCAAAATCACTGATTAAAAACCGTTCAAACTGCAATTCCGGAAGAACAGACCTTCGAGCAAGATCGGACGTCCTGGCAGAAAACCTAAGCCTAAGGTTTTGGCGGGAATATCCAAAGTTATTTGACAAGTTAAAAAGTTGGATCATTCTTCGTATTCGCCCCGCTGTTCTGATGTAACGCACCCATGGCAATGCTTGGTAGCCACTCTTCTCAATGATCTTCAAATTGCAAACCTGGAACGAATTAAAACAAATTCAAACTCAAATGAAAAGCCTTGGATCTTTTAGCTCAACACCTGAATCCGTGAAGGAACGTACCAAACCAGGGCTTAATATTGGCCAACTACTAAAAAAAAACTTGACTAGTAAAAGTTTTTTTAGTGGTTGAGTTTGTAATTAAAATTGTCATTTGAATACAAATAAAAAATCTAACTAGTAGCAGCTTTAAAGAGGCTCTAGTGTTAATTTAATGTTGTTCTGCAACAAAAACCTCACTCACATGAAGCAGTATTTGTAGGGACAACCTGCTGTTTACATGATGTTTTAGTTCCAGTTTCTAGTGATGCAGTTGAGTGTGAAAACCTCAAACATATGTCTTTGTTTACCCATATCTTTAATAAGCTCTTCAATAAATGATACAATTGTGTTTTGCCAAATCCTGCTGGGAGTAAAACACTAACTTAAATATGGATTGGATTCAATCTAATCCATTCATTCTTGGATCTAAATAAATAAAAGTTTTATGTGAAATTAAGCTAAAGTTATTTAATAAAGGCTACCAAAAGAGTCCCAGGTCTTGAACAAGCCTTGAACTATCTTCTTATCAAAGATTTGATACAGGAACAGTAAAGGTATTACCTTTTGCCTCTGTTGGAGTTAACAAAAACCCTATAAGTATATGCAGTAAAAAGAATGGTCCTAAGAGTTGCAAATATGACATTGCTCGTCAAAAACCTCCCCACACCCTAGTTAAATCCACATAGCATGTATTTAAAATGTCAAGCTCAAAATCTGTTGCTACTCTTCAGCCTTAGTATAAGCTCTCAAATTCCCACATTTCTGGAGGATTGCTACAAAGTAGAAAGAAAAAAATGTGGTCAAGTTTCTTAGTTGATCCGCTCAACCCAAATGCCTATTAGAGCTCCTTGCAACCTTGCAAGCATGCCCACTTGATTGTTAATTGATACAATGAAGCAGTATTCAGCTAAATTGACCTGATCAACAAAGGAACAAGACTATTTGACCCACTTGTGGGGAGGCAAAGTTTATTTATGAAAGAATGCTATGTTTAGTTGTATGAACAATTACTGTCACAACTTTTTCCAAGTATGGTAATATACTTTGACATAAATGAGTCTTGTTTCTCATACCAAAGAAGGTAAAGAAGAGGTGAGGGTGTTTTTTAGACTCTTACCAGTGTTCTCTATGGTAGACAAAGTGTGTTTGACTGTTTATCATTTTGTTTGAATCAATGATAATTTCTCTTTGATAAATTATTGAGTTTAAATTGTGATAGAATATCTAACTTTACTTTTAAAAGTTTAGTATACATGTTAGGGTTTGCATATACCTCAATTTTATAGGGTGCCCCCACTTTGTCTTTTCAAGTAAAAACAAAGCTTTCATAGTCAAGTTATTTTTAATCCATTTTTATTGCAAAATAATATTTAATAGGAAATTATCCACAAAAATTGACTGTTTCATTATATTAACTCTTTATTAACATATTTAAATTAACTTCTAAAAAGCTTTTTCAAGATTTTCATTTAGTAGTGTAATTATCTTATAAGAACTTATAATTTTAAATAAATTAGTTTCAAAGTGTATTCATTTTTAGTTTAGATCTCCATATAAAAGCTTGTCTATTTTTGTTAAATACAGCTATATAACTTGTATTTTCTACACAACATGAAAATGTTATAAATTATTAGACCATATAACAATATATTTTCTATCATAAATTACAAGATTCGTATCTTTTTGTATATAAAGAAAACATTCAATACCTTTTTTTGATGTTTCAGTTTTTCATATTAAAATCTTTCATAATAGAGAACATTACAGTTGAATTGTATATATAAAATATACATTTGATTTGGTGATTGAAGAAAATCTTCTTTGCGAAGGCAAGAAAAATAAAAATAATTTGCTCCACTTTTTATACCAGTTTTATGAATTAAAAAATATTTTATTTCATCTAAATTTTTTTTAATAGTAAACTATTGTTTTAAAAAATATTTAATATCTTTACTTTCTATATATTCTATATATATATATATATATATATATATATATATATATATATGTAATTACCTTTTATATACTCTATGGATATATGCTATCAAATAAATTTCAAAAAATATTTCAAACATTAATTCAAAACTTTTTTGTAGTGATTTACCTTTATTTATTAATAAAACTAAATAATATAATATCATAATATATTATAATTTGCTTTTAGTCTTGTATATCAAGAGCAATTATTGTTATAAGTAAACTGATATGTTGTTGATCCATAAATATCTCTTTTCTTTTACCCAATGAGCTCTCAAATAGGAATGAAATCATTTTTTCTAGAATACACACACACACACACAAAGATATATATATATATATATTATTCACTATAAATGTAATACAATTATCTTTTATTAAAATGATTTTAACAAAAAGACATCTAAAGAAAGAAATGTTGATATAATAAGTGCAAAACCTTATAAAAAATAAAGGTTGTTGTAGCTAGTACGCTATTCTGGTTTTTATTTTTGAAAACTAGTCTAGCTTCTTACAACTGCCGCTGTCAAGTTATCAAGCCCAATGCTTTGAGAGTTTCCAGATGAGACAGGCAGTGGGCCAACGTTTTGTGCGGAGTTGGGCCTTGATCAAGCGTCACCGTTGAATCTCAAGGGAGCTAGCGTTGAATCCCAAGTCAATTCTTTCATTTTCATACTATTAAGATCATGTGAGCATGATAGCCATTATTTACGGACTTCACAACATCTCATTCCTGCTTGTTCTCATTTTCCTCTTTCTTTGCAGCCTGCTCCTTTCGATCCTGGAGAGCCTCAATCACTTTCTCTAGAGCCCCTCTCGAGTTCCCCCTGTTCTGGATCAACACCTCTGCGATATCAGCAGGAGTGATCTCAACCTTGGCGATCAGCTCCTCGATCTCTCCAAACTCCTCCTCAAACTGCTCCTGTTGCGAGATTTCAAGGTGAGTCCACGCCAGCACCTTGAACGCCTCAAATCCACAGTAGCCCATCAAAATGTGGAGGTCCATCCTGCCGGACCTCAACAACGCAGGGTCTAGATCCTCCTTGTGGTTGGTCGTGAAGATGATGATCCTCTCACTCCCGCTACAAGACCACAGCCCATCGATGAAATTCAGTAGCCCCGAAAGTGTGACCCTGCTGCTCTCTTGCTCCTTTTTCTTGTTTTTCTTCTCGGACTTTCCATCTTTCTCCTCGGTTTCTTCCTCCGGTGCCGGCTTCCCCCTCTTCTTGAGCTCCAGCGAGCAGTCGATGTCCTCGATCACGATGATCGCCTTGTTGGAAATCCCCATGAGCAGCTTTCTCAAGTCTGCATTGCTCTGCACCTCCGTCAGCTCCATATCGTAGACATCATACTGCGTGTAGTTCGCAATGGCAGCGATGAGTGACGACTTCCCAGTCCCCGGAGGCCCGTACAAGAGATACCCACGCTTCCAAGCTCTGCCAACCCGCTCAAAGAAATCCTTTCCAGCTTTGAACGAGTCCAGGTCCTGGATGATCTTGTTCTTGAGCTCGGGATCCAGCGCCAGGCTCGAGAAAGTCGAGGCATGCTTGAAAGGCACCGATCTCCACGGCTTGTCCCTGTAGACCCACTCGCGTGAGTTTGCCATGTTGGTGTAGAGCTGCCGGTCTTGGTTCTGTCGCTTCAAGCTCTCCCCGAGCTTGATAACTTCCCTCATGTACTCCGGCAAGAGTGTATACATGTGCCTCCTGTGAACTTGGACAACGTACGCTCGGCGTGTTCCTCCACTTCGATCAAAATAGCTGAAGCCTTCACGGTTGGACGGCTCGGTGACGTTGAAGACCCAGGAGAATGTCACCCCTTTGAAGTTGTCCTCCACTCGCTCGCCCCTGGCGAGGTTGCAATTCGGCTTGCTAGCGTTCTTCACTCGTGTGAACTGGATCCTGTTTGCCGAGCTCTTGGTGTTGGTCTCGGTGAGATGTGCGACGTAGAGGTCGACCAGGTCGTAGATCTCGTTGCTGTTGTTGCGGACGTATTCGGGAACTGAGAGCGCTGTCTCCCACCAGAGCCAGGATACCAGCCTCCTGAGCCTGAGCTCCAGAAGGAACCAGATGTGAGAAGGAACTATCTGCTTGAGAATCATGATGAAGCCCATGAGAGAACCGAGATGGGCGAAGTAGCCGCCTGCCATCTTGCTCTGTTTCTGCTGCTGCGAGAATGAGAAAAATCCGACCTCCACCCCCCTTTATATTCTGGCGTGCGAGTTTCTACGTCATGTTCACGATGTCTTCAGTTGCCAGTCATAGCGAAGATCACATAACTTGTTGAAGAAGCTCCAAACTGGGGTCAAGATGTAAGTGTCAGTGACCGAGACTTTGAACTGTTCCCAGTCCAGGAAAATGCGAGCTCGTTCCAAGTTACTCAAATGCTAGATCCTTCGAGAAGATTGATGCAAAGGGAACCTTGTCCACACAAAACACCACTCCAGCTTGCGTAACCAATCTTGAAGTTGAAAAGACTGTCAGTAAATGTAACACTAAGTAGAAAAGCAAAAAATGAGACAAGGCTGCATTTGTACCTTCTTACTGTACCAAACAGGATACATACATACAGTGGAAAGCCCAAGAAAAACGAAACCTTTACCGAGGAACTTCTACCCGTCATCTCTTCGTTCCGAGCTGTTGTGAATGATATTGAACTTGCATAGCGGGCATGTCGCGTTGATTCTCAACCACTTGTCTATGCAAGAACAGTGGAAGTGGTGATTGCAAGGAAGCTCCCGGAGCTCAACTCCATCGTCATATGGAGAGAGACAGATGCAGCATTCCTGGTCCATGGAAATGGTCAAGTCCTTTCCGAAAAGGAACGATTGCCTTACCGCATCTTCCGAAGACAAGCCTCGTTCAGAGCTAGGATCCGACGAACCAACCAGCGCCATGATTCCACCGAGGGAAGGAGCTTTGTCCGCTTTCTCAATAATGCATGTATCGATGGACCCAGAGCGACGAAACTTGAATCTGGGAATGAGATTGATGTCTTCTTCCGACGCACCCTCCTGGAACGTGAAAAAGATTTCTTTCTAGTTCCTCATAAAAAAAAATACAAAAGCTGTTAAAGCAGTAGATCTCACCTGGTCCGCGACGGCATATAATATTGCAATGATGCACGGCAGGCAGCAGCATACGGCAATCCCAATAACACATGCGAGCGCTACGCAAAACACGACAAAAAAGACATCAAACGCTAGAAAAACCACTGAAAGCCTGCAAGAAGAACTCCGTTAGTAGCCTCCAAAAGACCAACCAAAAACCATACCAGTAAAGACGTGGAGAGTGCTGCGTGAGAGCTTGACCACCGGCAGTGATCCAGTAGAATCCAATCACCCACCAAACAAAGGAAAACATCGTATTGGCAGACTCTAGTCGCTTTGATAAACTGCTCGCAAAGAAAGAAAGAAAAAGTTAGAACAGACAAGAGAAAGAGCTACGAATAGCTTACCTGACTTGCTCAACCAAGCTCTCTTCTTCGCTAGACTGAGCCTCCATGTCGATCTCAGACTCCGAGCCAGCGGACAAATGCGCCACAGTGTTCTCGGCGGGACCACTTCCTCCACGAAGAATCCTTCTCCTCCTCCTCCTATACTCCGAGCAAACGCACACCATATGGACGAGGCACTGCACCGCATAGCCCACGATCCACACCCTGAGAGGAGTCTCTGGACGCTCCTCCTTGCTATTGACGAGCACGGCCACTGCTACCACCACGAATGCCAGATTCCACATCAAGTCGAGGACCACCACCGGCCGCGAGTAGGCCCAATCGCTCTGCCGCTCCTCCAGCTGCTCCGCCGCGGTCTGGCGGACGAGCATCGACGGCTCGCGCATCGGCCGCCGCCCTGTGGCCTGCCGCAAATACCTAGCAGCGCCATGGACTGCTCTCCTGTGCCCTGGCGCCAAGGATCGCGAGGAATCGGCGTTGATCGCTCCATTCGATCCCAGGAGTGGAGCTACGTGATCCGTCGACTCCATATTTCGAGCAATCGATCGATCTACACAGCGCCAGTACCTGGAATCCTTGCCGGAGCGCGCATAGCGCGAAAAACCCTAACCCTTGGGAAGCTGGACGCTTGTGGTAATGCCATGTAGCGCATGGATGGGAATAAAAAATCGACGGTGGTGGATCTTCTTCATTGAATTCTACGCGAGAGGATTTGCCAGAGCGCAGCGGTGGAGAGAAGATTCACGATCGAAGTGGCCATTATCTGGAGAGCAAGAGAGAGAGTGAGAGAGAGAGAGAGAGAGAGAGAGAGATCTAGAGAACCAAGTAGAGATTTTCCACATACCAAGCCACTGGGACCGAGATTAAGTTTTGCAACGAGCACCCAGTCCAAGAGAGCGTTCGCGAAGATGGCAGCCAAGCTCACGTAAAATGGAGCCTGGCCATCGCCGAGACCGTAGAAAACGCGCACAAGGAGGTCGCGAAGCAAGTAGAACGTAGAGCCCAACGCATCTAAGATCGATCGAAGAAGAAAAGATGAAAACCAGCGATCCAAACGAGAAAAAATGGAGAACTTACAGTGCTTGACGAGCGATGATACGGCTTGAGCGGCGGAGTCGTCGAATGCGTAGCGCTGGAAGAGAGCTCGGACGATCGGTTTTGCGAGAGGGATCGCGAGAGCGGTCATTGGAAGCGTGAGCGCCATGCAAAGCGTGATGCCTTGGTGGATCTTAGCTCGAAGTTCTGGCCAGTTCGAAGGCTTTTCTTCGAGTCTCTCTAGAGAACGTAAAAACTAGACGAGCGTACCTGTGAAAGCTTGGAGAAAACTGGAACGAGTGGTAACAGGACCGCGCTGGAGATGATTCCCAAGGGAGCCATGACGAGAAGATTTGCATCTGGTAGAAGTTTCGTTAGAAGATCTCAAAGTTTTGATGTTTGTTTTTCGCGAGCTTACATCCGAGAGCTGCAGCAGCGTTTGGAAAGTATGATGCAAAGTAAAGGTCTGTGTAAGTAGCGAGCTGAAGCATTCCGGAGGATATGGTCGCAGGCATCATAAGTAACAACACCTGAGAGCGAAGACATGAAAGACTACATAGCAAAAATAAAACTTCATACCTCCTTGACATCTTTGTCTGCAAAAGGATTTTCCCATCTCAAAACTACACGACCTCGATCATCTTGAGCAAAGATCTGATTGATCCAAAAGAAAAGCTTAAACGCGAGAACTATCGAAAGAGTTGATACCAACCTGCAAAAGCCATTGAGCCAAGGCTCCCACTGTCGAGGCCAAAGCGAGTAAAACACCTCCTGTCAAGTACCAAAAACGAAGCTTTTGTATGAATCGACTTTAAAGCTCAAGGCAATGCAGCAAACCATTCATTAAGTTCAAAGGATCGCAAAGCTTGCAGTGAATCGCAGCCTGCATGGAGCCAAGAATACAGTCAAGACTACACGAATCTCTTGTCTTGTAACCAAAACTTACAGCGAGAATGATCGATATGCTTGATAGAGCAGGACTCAAGGATGCAATCCCGTATCTTCCCGAGGCACTGCACACGAAGTTTGGCTACAAACTGGACGTAAAAGCTTGGTACCTCAAACTTCCATAGCCAATTCCCATCAAGCACGCGAGTGTTGCACAAGGCGCCATGATTCTCAGCTGGATCAAGAGGATGGTTTTTGCAACTTGAGAGTTTTTCTTCTTCCGAAGCTACCTGAAGTATAGCCATGCTTCTCGTGATCAATCCACCGCTTGTTTTCAATAACAATCTGTTTGGAAAGCTTTTGAGATTCTACGACAGAAAGGAATGCTGAAAACTTACCCTGGTGCGATTGCATCAATAAGAAAAGCCGCTAATGTGTACATGAGAATGCCAAGGCTCAAAGATATCTGATAAAAAAGAGGATGGTGTCAAAGTAGGGGAAAAACAAATACTTGTTTTCATTTACCACAAACATGGCATGCGAAGTTCTTCCAATGAGTTCTCGTTTTCTGTCTTCTTCAGAGATCTTGCTACGAGACCAAAAGAGGAAGAAAAAAAATGAAAACAATGAACTTAAAGAAACTCGAAACATACCTTAAGGCCGATACCATTGCTATGTGGATTGGTCCATTGATTCCTGTCAGAATTAACGGTGAGTTTTTCTTGATGATTCAGCTAGAAACTATATACCTCCAAGGATTGTCAGAAAAAATCCTGGTACAATGGACGCATATCTACAAAATTTCGAACTGAGCAAAGAGAACCATGAACTCGATGCATACCCGAACGCATCTACAACAGGACCAACACCAAATACAGCAGCAAGAACAAGCTCACGAAGTAATCCCTGCAAAGGGGTGAAAAGAAAAAACTCAAAAGTCTTGCAAAGAATGAAAAACATTTTTAACACGAGAGGGATACAACAAGACTTACCAAGACTTTGCTAAGAGCAGTAGCACTTCCAATCACTCCCGCTAGCTTCAAAAAGTTACCACCACCACCTGAGAAGAAAACAATCTCGAGAAGAAACGAACAAAGAGAAAGAAGAAAAACCTTTGGAGTCATTCTCGTTGAGCTCAAACAAAGACGTAGCACGAATCCTTTGCGAGAGTCTTCGTTTCCAGCATAGCTGGGCACTTCGTTTGCCGGAAACTAAAAGCCCACTTGAGAGGGAGGCCTTCCTACCGAGAAACAAGCAGCCTACACAAGAATGTAAGCTTTTCCCCCCATTTCTATTTCTTCTTACCTGGGCACTGACGAAGCGATCCATTCGAGAGAAAGAGCCACAAGTCGCTCATCCTAAGAGGGTTTTGGACATCAAAGCCTAACGAACAAAACCGAGAAATGTGCTATGTCGATCATTAAGAGAGTTTACTGATTGAATAAGATGTAAGAGATGGTGGCTCATTTGGTCAGCGCTTAGCTCCTTAGAAATCCTGAGGTCGAGAGTTCGAGCATCTCACCCCACTTTAAGAAAGAATTTTATTATTATTCTTACTTTTTTCTTTTCCTTTTCTTTAAATTTCAATAAAGGTCTGTATTGTTGCAGCAAGCTTGTTTGTAACAGTTTATAACTCCGGCACTGTTCCACGGACCGGATGGCTTTTTAGCCTCATGTTTCACCCTTGTCTGAAAGCTTCATAATGGAGAGTATATGTTATGAAATTGAGCACTAACCCATTGCTATCACATCGTACCACACGTTTTTCTTATGTCTGTAAACAACATATGGCAGTTTGAAATCCTGGGCTGCTTTAGAACCCAGGGTAAAATCTTCAAGCAACACACAAGAATGGCTTCTTCAGGAGTTTTCTTCTTTGTTCTTTTTGTTCTCTACGCTTCTGCAGGTATCATCTATTGTCTTTTGAGTCCATCTTTGATGTCATATATATGAATGTGTGTGTAGTCGCTGCCCAAAACGTGCATTTTGGTTATGGAGTTTATCTTTCCGCTACTGATCTGGGATCTCCGTTGAGGACCCTGAGGCCCATTTTCAACGAGAGAGCTAACGACTTCCGAGAACTATACCTCTCTCCAAAACAACCATGCCCACACTAGTAACAATGAAGATCTCTACAAATCAGTAAGCTATGCAACAGTACCAGTTCCTAATCTCATCGGTGGTTTGCATTGTGATCACAGTTTGGCGCTATGGAAGAATCCCGCAACAGCAGCATGGAAGAATTTACGCAATCATCAAGCTCTCATACTGAGCCTCCATGTCGGTGTCCTCAGCGGTCAAATGAGCCACAGTGACCACCAACTTCCTCCACGAAGAGTTCTCCTCCTCATTGCAAACGCATCGCATAGCCAACGATCCATCTGGGACTCAATCTCAATTGACCGATCTACCTCATAATCCTTTTTAAAACAACAAAAAACATAGTTAAATGTTGGTTTAATTACGATTAGTGCAACGTTTAAGGTATTTTATTTTTACCCCTCTTCTCCCTCTTTCTTCGCACCCTGCTCCATTCGATCCCGAAGAGCCTCAATCACTTTCTCTAGAGCCCCTCTCGAGTTCCCCCTGTTCTGGATCAACGCCTCCGCGATATCAGCAGGAGTGATCTCAACCTTGGCGATCAGCTCCTCGATCTCTCCAAACTCTTTCTCAAACTCGCCGTGCTGCGAGATCTCAAGGTGAGTCCACGCCAGCACCTTGAACGCCTCAAATCCACAGTAGCCCATGAAAATGTGAAGGTCCATCCTGCCCGACCGCAGCAGTGCGGGATCCAGATCTTCCTTGTGATTTGTCGTAAAGATGATGATCCTCTCGCTCCCGCTACAAGACCACAGCCCATCGATGAAATTCAGTAGCCCCGAGAGTGTGACCCTGCTGCTCTCTTCATCTTTCTTCTTGGCTTGCTTCCCTGGCAACGCTCCATCTTTCTCCTTGGACTCTTCACTGGTTTCTTCCTCCGGCGCTGGCTTTCCCCTCTTCTTGAGCTCCAGCGAGCAGTCAATGTCCTCGATCACGATGATCGCCTTGTTGGAAATCCCCATGAGCAGCTTCCTCAAGTCGGCATTGCTCTTCACCTCCGTCAGCTCCATGTCATAGACATCGTACTGCGTGTAGTTTGCTATGGCAGCGATGAGTGACGACTTCCCAGTCCCCGGAGGCCCGTATAAGAGATACCCGCGCTTCCAAGCCCTCCCAACTCTCTCAAAGAAATCCTTACCAGCCATGAAGGAATCCAGGTCCTGGACGATCTTGTTCTTGAGCTCGGGATCCAGCGCCAGGCTCGAGAACGTCGAGGCATGCTTGAAAGGCACCGATCTCCACGGCTGGTTCCTGTAGTCGTCCGAGCTTCCTATGTTGGTGTAGAGCTGCCGGTCTTGGTTCTGGTGCTTCAAGCTCTCTCCGAGCTTGATCACTTCCCTCATGTACTCGGGCAAGAGTGTATACTTGTGCCTCCTGTGAACTTGGACAACGTACTCTCGCTGTGTTCCTCCACTTCGATCAAAATAGCTGAAGCCTCCGCCGTTGGAGGGCTCGGTGACGTTGAAGACCCAGGAGAATGTGACGCCTTTGAACTTGTCCTCCACTCGCTCGCCCCTGGTGAGGTTGCAATTCGGCTTGCTGGCGTTCTTCACTCGCGTGAACTGGATCCTGTTTGCCGAGCTCTTGGTGTTGGTGTCGGTGAGGTGAGCAACGTAGAGGTCGACCAGGTCGTAGATCTCGTTGGTGTTGTTGCGGACGTACTCTGGGATTGAGAGCTCTGTCTCCCACCATAGCAAAGTGACAAACCTCTTGAGCTTGAGCTCCAGAAGGAACCAGACGTGGCGCGGAACTATCTGGTTGAGGATCATGATGAAGCCCATGAGAGAACCGAGATGGGAGAAATACCCCCCTGCCATTGCCATCTTGCTCGGCTGCTGCTGCTGCTGCTGCGAGAATGAGAAAAATCTGACCTTGCCACCTCACTCTTATTCTGGTGAACATTCCCTTCAAGAACAAGAGCCAGCTTCCGCGAAAGTCTGAGAACTCTTCTCGTCAAGCTCACCGCCTAAGTCATGCTCACTCACGACGCTGCTCCAGTCAGCGATGTTGACGCCAAAGGAAGAGACGAGGAAAATTCTTTGTCAGTAGCCTCCAAAAAATCAACCGAGATCATACCTGTAAAAACACCTCATCAGTGTTAAAAAGGATTCTCAAGTTACAAAGAGTCTTATTATCGTAGGATTTGAAAGAACCAAAGTGAGTAAAAGCTATCAAAAAGCAATGGTGTCGTCACTGAAACACATCTCCCTGCAAAACGATTTAATTGACAATTGTTTTTTCTTTTCTTATTTGTTTGAGAATCTATGAATGAAGCCCTTAAATGCTGTTATGTGACTACATAACTTGTTTTCAAACTTTTTTTTATAGAAAGATCAATAATACACACACACATATATGTACATATAGACATATATGTATACATATACATATACATATACATATATATACAAACATATATATACAGAAAAAAACACACACACACACACATCATATTATGACATTCTATAAAATGTAAAGCAACTTTATTGAAAATCTCCTTCTAAAGCTGCTCAACAACAACCTAAGGGCAATAAGAGCTAAAAGCTAGAAAAAACAAGAGTGAAAATGAGCTTAATTTAGCTATGACACTCTTCAAAAACACTTTGTCTCTTCGTAAAACCTACCTCAAATAAATGACACTTTCTATCTCCCAAAACTTGTTTATGTCCACTTTGATAAGGTTAAACTCTTTTGTAAAGTTATTTTAGAGATTTTTCCCTCCCATTTCTCGCAATAATATACATGTCATAAATGACCAAAGTAGCTTTTGACATTAAAAGGTGGCTAAATATATATGCTATTCTTGGAAAAACAACCCCCAATATTAGAATTTCACATTTTGAGATAGTAAAGAACACTAGTAGTAACAAAAAACAACAACAAATAACAACGCCTTACTATATAATTACTATAATTGCATTGATTTATACACATTAGCCACAAAATGCTAACATGCATTTGCTTCTCCATCATTTCCGGATCAAATAAATGTAATGCTTATTTTGTATTACATTGTGAAGTCTGTTGGTTCAACTTAAAAGATTTACTATATAACATAGCTTATACCCTACCCAGGCTTAGTTGCTTTTATGTTGATGAGATTCCCCAATTCTTTGCAAATCTTCTACAAATCCTTTACCTTGTAAATACTAGACCATCTTTCAGCATGCTGACTAGATTTCCATGGCACACTTCATTTACAAATACATCATATGCCACTTCAGCGTCCCTACAATCCTCATTTCAAATCATGGTTACACTTTCCTTGGGTAAGTCACACAATGGCTCCTCCAGCTCTTACAGGTGCATCATATGAAGAGTAGTAGTTACTACCCCCAGTTGAATAGCTAAGCTAAGTCCAGCTTTAAGCTTGGGCATGGGATCTTCTCAAACTCAATGAGCAACCTGTGTAGCAACCAATCACCTTTTTGCCACCATGTGCAAGTACAAGGGACAGCGTGATCAATTCTGATGGGATGACCTTTTCCCACAGGACAGTTTGTGATGCTCCAGGATTTTAGGATTTTGCACCTTCTGCAAAATTCTCTCCCAGGTGGCTTGGTACTTTTTACTACTTTTCTACACTATATCATATATTCACCATATGCTTTATTCATCATTCAAGAAGCCATCCTGATGTTTGAGAGCATATTTACTCAAAGAACAATTTGAGAAAAGAACAGGTATTGTACCTCAAGTGCCACTAGTTCGAGCTCGTGATCAATCTTGGAAATCTTTCTTAAATTAGCATCCCCGGCCGAGGAGAGCCTACGGGAAGCGGCCCTCTCCGGGAAAGCACCGGGCCGGACGCAGCAGTCCGAACCAGAATCCACGTACTTGGTTCATCAGCTTCAACCTAGTTGTTGCAATGGCACTTTGAATTTGAACTAAAAACAGCATATTAGTGCGAGCATTTTGATCACCAATTTGATTCTAAGAGAGAATAACACTATACAGAAATCGCAACAACAACTGCCAGTTGTAGATTGTGATTATTCTCTGCAATCTGACGATGGAGCAGCTCGAAACCATCATCTTCGCACTTGCTGTAAGAAATTCTCATCAGCAGCCTCATTTAGACAAAGAAGCAGCAAGAAAATATTGATACCATACCTGAATTGCAGCAGCAGCCAATCCGGCAACTCGGGAAGTCTTGGACGATTCACCATGCACTAGAAGATTGGGGGTTTTTCTTAACTTTCTATTGACTTTTTATTGAGAACGCTGTTGAGCATCTACTGATGTGTTTGCTATCACAAGCTTGGTCGCCCAAACCTCTCAATCTCTTTTCAACTACATTCCATAGCCAAGCACTCGAGTGTTCAGCTGGATCAAGAGGATGGTTTTATCAACTTAGGTGTTTTTCTTCTTCTGAAGCTACCTGAAGTATAGCCATGCTTCTCAGCTAAGACGAAAAATTTGAGATTCTACGACAGGTGGAATGCTGAAAACCTACCATCACGATATTATCAACAAGAAAAGCCGTAAAGAATGCCAAGGCTCAAAGCTATCTGCACAAAACAAGATGTAAAAGTAGGAAAAAGAAAGATTGGTTCTCACTTACCAAATGCATGGCATGCGAAGTTCTTTCAATGAATTCTCATTTTCAGAGATCTTGCTACAAGACCAAAAGAGGAAAT